TGCACCGAAATCAATGTAGCTCAAAATTAAATCGCAATTTGATCTTAAACATTCTGCATTGCTTTCAACTAAAAAGTTTACTACTTGGTTAAAATTGGATAACGTAGTGATGTTTAGTTATGAGGAATCATATGGTTTTTACGCAAATTTAGAGTAAATCTTAGTCTGGTTAATTACGTATTTTTTACATCGTCAATAACAACCTGTCAACACACTAATCGGTTCATTATTCCCGTATTGCAGCTTTAGGTTGCAACAGAGAAAATTTTATAATGTGAAATGACAATGCAGAAGAATTGTACTTACCGTTCTAAAGCATTGCTCATCGAAAATCTTGAGTGAACATTTGTTGGCAATTTTAACGACTGTGGTCGGATGGAAACCATGGATGAAATTGCAATTCCGTGACTGGACAAATATTGCTGAATCAGACTCGCACTCAGCGAACAGTGTGCCTTGATGTCGTACATAAGTCAGTTTTACACCTGAACTATTTTTTAAAATACTTTGAGATATGACGTGTAAGAAACTTAGCGCCACCTTTTCCAATCAATCGTCTAGTGTTTTCAATCGGGGGATTTCTGTTCACATTCGAGAATAGTCCTAAACTAATTTTTTGTGGATTGTTGGTTGGATCCGTATAACCATCGATGAATATTGGCGATGATGTCACCTGAACAATGTATATAGAACTCTGGTTGGTTAGAGTTGTAAGTAACGGAATTCAAGACGAAAGAGATTCGAATTTGAACCTCAATAAGTTAGCAGCGCTGCCAGCTTACTATTTTTGACCGTTTTTAAAATTTGTAACACGTCTTACTGTATCAGAGGCAAAATGCAAACTGCATTCATATGTTTTGTTTTATGAAATTTGGAATTCTTTGTTTTTGGAATTGTCGAGTAAAATTATCATGCTACTTTGTAAGGCGATGATTCGTAAAAAAATTTTTTACCGGGGGACGAGAAAGTCACGGAAGTTATGGTGTTTGCAACGTGGTATAAGTACAATTAATGCTCAGATTCAACAATGAAAAAACTTCATTGAAAGATGTTAAATTTAAAAAAATCTTCTTGACGCCGTGCCATCTTTTCGTATTCTGTTCTTCAAACAACTCACAATGCTTGAAAAGGAAGGAGTCGAAACTCTATTTTACCCGAATTTG